CTAGCTACTCAGGAGGCTGAGATCTGAGGATCGCGGTTCAAAGCCAGCCCGGGCAGGAGAGACCGTGAGACTCCTATCTCCAATAAACCACCAGAAAACTGGAAGTGGCGCTGTAGCTCAAGTGGTAGAGCGCTGGCCTTGAGCTGAAGAGCTGAGGGACAGCGCCCAGGCCCAGAGTTCAAGCCCCACGGCAGACCAAAAAAAAAAAAAAAGAATATAGGCTTAGATATGTTTGGGTCCACACTAAAGGGAAAAAAAGAAAAGAATATTCAACCTCAGGATTACCCTAAAATGTTTGCAGCTATAGAAGGATTGCAAATGTAATTTTTTCTTTTACAATTATTTTTCTCTTACAATTATTTTTCTACAGTAACCGTGTATTATATGATACATATATCACTTAAAAATAATTCTGTGTAGTGAATTATAACTGAACTTTTAAAAATTAAAGATTATCTTTAAGTAGTTTGTTAAAAAAAAAAAAAAGGATAAGTCTAGCCGGGCCTGAGCAGGTGGCTCACACCTGTAATTCTAACTACTCCGGAGGCTGAGATCTGAGGATTGTGATTTGAAGCCAACCCTGGCAGGAAAGTCTAAGAGATTCTTTTTTTTGGGGGGGGTCCAGTCGTGGGGCCTAAACTCTGGGCCTGGCCACTGTCCCTCAGCTCTTCAGCTCAAGGCTAGCGCTCTACCACTTGAGCCACAGCGCCACTTCCAGCTTTTTTTCTTTTTGCATATGTGGTGCTGAGGAATTGAACCCAGGGCCTCAGGCATATAAGGCATGTGCTCTACCACTGAGCCACCTTCTCAGCCCTAAGAGATTCTTATCTCCAGTAAACTACTCAGAAAAAGCTGGAAGTGGGCTGTGGCTCAAGTGGTAGAGCACTCGCCTTGAGAAGAGAGAGGTTCAGGGACATGGCCTAGGCTTAGAGTTGAAGCCCCAGGATGGGCAAAAAAAGGCGGTGGGGGTGGTAAGTCCTAACCATAGGCACATTGCCTCGATTTTTCAAGAGTTGTTATTAGTTATAGTAGCTAATTAGTTATTATTTGAAAGTTATTGTGTATCTATGTATATTTTAAAGTCCTGCTTTAAAATGAAGGAAAAAACATATCTTCATGGTGCTCACAATGTAGTAAAGGCAGAGTGACTTGTCTCTTGATCCTGGACAAGAGGCCAGATTGAAGTGAGACATGCAGCAGTGGGTGTTTGATGAGTTGGTACATAGACAGTTTTCCCAGTTCCTGGACCTGAAGTGGGAGAGAAGTGGCCTTGAGAGACATCCTGGAGGAGAAGTCACCATGGGCTCAGTGAATATGTACCTGGCTGTTCTTGAGGGGGGGGAGGAGGGACTCCAGGGACTTTAGGAGTAAGAAGATAAGATTCCTTCTCCCTCCCATCTTACCTCCCCTAAAATAACTATAACAACTTGTTTTCACTTCTTTCTTTTCTCTGTGCCCATTCTGGCATGCACAGATATCAACTTGGTGCTTCCCCCTTCTCCTTTTGTTTACACAAGAGATTGTGACGTACAAGTACTCTGCAACCTGCACCTTTTGTTGTTTAACATAGTCCTACATTTTCTCTAGACAAAAACAAATAGATTTATCACATAATTTTTAAAATTATGTAAATTCGGGCTGGGAAGATGGCTAAGTGGTAGAGCGCTTGCCTTGCATGCCTGAGGCCCTGGGTTCAATTCCTCAGCACCACATAAACAAAAAGAAAAAGCCAGAAGTGGCGCTGTGGTTCAAGTGGTAGAGCGCTAGCCTTGAGCTGAAGAGCTGAGGGACAGTGCCCCAGGCCCAGAGTTCAGGCCCCACGACCGGACCCCAAAAAAACAAAAACAAAAAACTATGTAAATTCTGTTTCATAGCATGCATATATTATAATTTATTCAGCTCTTTTATATTTGCCAGATTTTGGCTGAACATAGCTGCTTAAATCTAAAAAGCCTTAGTTTAGCTAGAAACTTTAGTCACTTTGAAACAAAGTTGTTTTTCCCAAGGTCACTGAAACAGCTGATTGGGAAGTGCCCAGGATTCAGCTGTGTGAGCACTGGATGAGGTGGTAGGCGTGACATAACCCTACACCTGCCTGGTTAGTGGTGGGAGATCCAGGAGGGTGATCTGGTTGCAAAGACTCCAGTTTCTAGCACTGTTGAGGTAGGAGGAGACTGGGCCCATTGGTAGCAGTGACACAGGAATGGGAGGAAAGCTGGCTTGAAAAAAACTGCAAATTCAGGAATGTGGCATTTGCACTGATGGTAGGATGTATGAGGGGAAAATATCTAGATAATTGATCCACATCTGAAGCTCCAGCTGATAATGGCACTTGGAGGTAGTAGAATTGAGTTGTTTAAGAGAGCTAAAAGAAGAAGTCCATAGACTCTTAGGAAAGGGGTGGGAGGAGAAGAAAGAGACAGAGACAGAAGGAAGAAGAGTTGAGAGCAGACCTTTGATGCTGAGTCACTAAACCCTGGAGGAAGAATTAAAAAAAAAAAAAAAGACAGCTCAATCTTCAATGAGCTGATATGTGTTCATTAAACTTCATTATCCTAACAGTGGAAACCCAACTGAGGTTCAAGAAAGAGAATGTAGACCTAGTGGTATGGTGGTACACACCTGTTATCCCAGCTGCTTAGAAGTCAGCAATAGGACTGACATTTAAGGCCAGCCCAGGCAAAGTTAGCAAGACCTTCTCTGTAAAACCAACTTTTTGTTGTTGGTGGTGGTCATTAAGCTTGAACTCAGAGCCAGAGCATTGTCCCTGAGTTCTTTTTTTTCCTCAAGGCTAGCACTTTACCATTTTGAGCCACAGCTCCACTTCTGGTTTTCTGGTGGTTAGCTGGAGATGTGTTTCTTGAACCAGCACCAGGCTTGCAAAACAAACTTTAAAAAAAGAAAAAAAAAAAAGCACCAGATGCCAGTAACTCAGTCCTGTCATCCTAGCTACTCCGGAGGCTGGAATCTGAGGCCACAGTCTAAAGTTAGCCCTTGCAGTGAGACTTGTATCTCCAATTAACCACCAAAAACCCAGAAGCAGACCTGTGGCTAAGTGGTGGACCACCAGCCATGAGCAAAAAAGCTAAGGAACAACACCCAGGCTCTTGAATTCATTCTCCAGTACCAACATGTACACAAACACACACATAGCAAGAGGATTGGGAATGTGGCTCAAATAGTAGAGAGCTTGCCTAAGAAGCACAAGCCCTTGGTTCAAATCCCAGTTAGCCCTCCCTCCTACCTCCCCCACCCCCCCACACAAAAAAAGGAGACAGTGTGTGTGGGCCCTGTTAGCACAAGCCAGTGTCCTTTTCCATTGCCATTTGGGATCTCAGGGGAAGAAACGAGACAGTAAACCTTGAGTATAAGTGCACACTGACTGGGAGGGCCAGATAGCCAGGAGAGGGAGTATATGAGACCGAATGGGGAAAAAATGAGGGTGGCGGAGAGACTGCCACAATAGGATCACAGTGAGGAGCAGGTTCCAGCAGAGGTAGGAGTAGAAGTTGTTGAAACACAGAGAAGTAACCATCAGAAAAGAGCATGGTCCCCAAATGGCAGTCCTTAGCCAAATCTAGCCCTCTACATGGTTTTATAAATAAGGTTTTGAGATATGAACAGTATTAACAAAGCTTTATGTAGTTTGTGTGGCTGCTTTCACACTATAATGGCAGAGCAATTTAGTCCTTCCCTGAAAAGTTTGCCAGTGACTGGAAAAGAGTTTGAGTGCTTGGTGGTAGCCTGGATTAGAGCAAGGATGACAATGAAAGGGGAGCTGGAGAAGCCGTCACGTGCTGAAGGTGGAGACGGAAGATAGGAGCCCCATAGCCAAGCTACCATGATGTTGGGGAGAATGCTAAAATCCACTTGTTATGATGGGGTAGGTGTAGGGGGCAGAAGGGACACAGCTGCCCCTGTAGTCTTCAGGTGAGTCAGAGAAGGGTACATAGAAACATGCTTACTGCATGCTCTCCTCCTAAGTCTCCAAGCTCCAGGGAAAGAAATATTCTTCTAGTCCTACCAGTATCTCTTGCCTCTACCAAATAGCACTGAGGAGAAGCTGAACGCTACACTGTGGGTGGACATGGGAGGGGCACAGCAGCTCAGCTTATAAATGTCCAGCTGCATGGGAGAATTTGGGGTCTGATATCCGGATGCTCAGAAAGACAGACAGTGGAGGCAGCTATTGAAGTAGCTGGGGAAGGCAGATTGGACTGAGCTGAGGTAGTAAGAGATAGGCCCTGCCAGCCTCACATGTCCAAGTAAGTGTGGATGTGTTGGAGAAAGTGCCGGGTATCCCTTCTGAGTATCACATTGAAGTGGGAGGACAATGTGTCACTTTTATAAAGAAACCCTCCAGCTCCCCTAAAACTAAATCCTGCTCTCCCTAGATGGGCAGTGGAGCACAGATGAATCTCTGAAGTCTGCCAGTGTGTTGCATTCCTTTACAAACCAGGACTGGGGATCAGTTATAGTCAGTCAAATTTCTTTCTGTCAGTGTCATCCAAATACCAGATTTTAGATACGAAGGACTTGTGTGGCGACCAGGAAGGATGATCTAGACTGGGTTGGCAGTTCACATCTATAAGCCTAGCTACTTTGGGAAGTAAAGAGTAGAAGGTCATGAATACAAGGCTATCCTAGGCAAAGATAGAGAGACCCTTTCTGAAAAACAAAAGATTTGGCTCAAGTGACAGAGCTCTTGCCTGGCATACATGAGGCTTCGATCCTCAGTACCATGAAAAATAAAAAGAGAGGTGATTTCAACTGTTCTCTAGTCCCCACCCTCCCTTGCCATTCTAAGGATTCTGTTTTTGTCTGTTTCAAAACAAAATATAATTTGCTTGTTTTTCTTATTTTTAGAAATATAATTTTTTTTGGTAAGTGGAAAGGTTCCTTCTCGATCCTTAAAATTCTGTTGCACAGGAAGGAGTAAAATACATCACTGGGAGGCTACACTGAGCATCCAGCCGTGTGTGTCTGGCTTCCCACTCCCTTCTATGTCCCACTGATAATGGCCCCTAGATAGTGGTTAAAGATGTGTGTGAATCACCACAGCTAGGATATGAATCTGTGGCTCAGTCAACTGAGCCCATTAGGAAATCAGGAGCCACACGTCCACCATTGCAGCCCTAACTCTACCCTTTTCTCCCCCATCTTGTTCTGCAGGGCTGTTCCTTCACCAGATACCACATCCAACCCAGTCAAGGCTATGAGCACAGCAGGCACAGATGGCAGCAGCCACAGCCAGGATCTTACTCGAATAGTTTCCGGCTCCAGCAAATAGAGTTTCTCAAGGGACAGCTTCCAGAAGCACCTTTGATTGGAAGGCAGACATCATCACTACCCCCCTTCCTCCCAGGATTCTGGCCAAGGTTTCCAGGACCATCTGCCCCAGGCAGGCACCAAGAGATCTGGGGTGTCCCCAGGGGTGAACATCTCAGAAGTCAGGGGCTCCACATAAGACCCCAGCTTCCTTTGCCATGTGGTGGGGTTTTGCCACCTACAGGTGTTGAGAGGCTCTCCTCACACTTCCAGGAGCTGAACATCAGCCAGGATCAAGAGCAAAGGATCCTAAAGCTCTTGAAAGAGAAGGCTACCACAGTGCATGAGCTGGCCAGGAAGCTCAGGGCCCAGAAGAAGGAAGTCAGTCGAGTTTTATACTCTCTAGCAAAGAAGGGTAAGCTGCAGAAAGGGACAGGAACACCCCCTTTGTGGAGCATCACAACCTCATTTCAGGCCCAGGACCAGCCCAACAGCGTAGTGAATCCAGACAATCAAAGCCAGGGTGCCCCAGACTCAGAGCCCAGTTTGAAAGCTGAAGAGGAAGACCCCACATCTGACTTAGAAGATCCTCCCGAGCCTTTTGATATGGCTGAGATCAAAGAGAAAATCTGCAACTACCTGTTCAATGTGCCTAACTCCTCTGCACTGAATGTGGCTAGAAGTATTGGCTTCAGTAAGGCCCGAGATGTGAATACTGTGCTGATTGACTTGGAAAGGCAGGGTGATGTCTACAGGCAAGGGGCAACCCCTCCCATTTGGTACTTGACAGACAAGAAACGAGAGAGGATGCAAATAAAGAGAAATACACACAGTGTTCCTGCAGCTACTCCAGCTGCTGTCCCTGAGACCCAAAGAAACATGGCACTCTCCACCTGTCACTTACCCCCATCAAATAAGATGGTGACCACAGCAAAAATGGAGAATGGGCAGGGACCTGTCATAAGGTTTGAAAGCAGGAAGGAAGGCAGACCAATGAGACTGAAACCACCTGTCTATCACAATGGCCCATCAAGAGCAGGGTATGTTGACTTTGAAAATGGCCAGTGGGCCACAGATGACATCCCAGATGACTTGAATAGCATCCGTGCAGGTGAGTTTCGAGCCATCATGGAGATGCCCTCCTTCTACAGCCCTGGCTTGCCACGGTGTTCACCCTACAAGAAACTGACAGAGTGCCAGCTGAAGAACCCCATCAGCGGGCTATTAGAGTATGCCCAGTTCGCTAGTCAGACCTGTGAGTTCAACCTGATAGATCAGAGTGGACCACCTCACGAACCTCGGTAAGAGATTCCCCAAGAACTGTGCCTAGGGTTGGGTCAAGTGCTCGATCCTGCGCAGTCTCAGCTGACTTATGAGCAATGTCCCTTGTTGGCCCTTTCTTTTCCCTCTACCTTTCCTGCTTTTTGGCTAACTCATCCTTGCTTGCCCTTTCTCTGGGTTTTGTTTTGTTTTGTTTTTTGGGGGGTCCGGTCATGGGGCCTGAACTCTGGGCCTGGGCGCTGTCCCTCAGCTCTTCAGCTCAAGGCTAGCCTACCACTTGAGCCACAGCACCACTTCCGGCTTTTTTCTTTTTGCTTATGTGGTGCTGAGGAATCAAACCCAGGGCCTCATGCATGCAAGGCAAGCACTCTACCACTGAGCCACCTTCCCAACCCTTTCTCTGGGTTTTGATCAGGGAGCATAGCTCAGGCAGCCAGAATCTTGGCTGAGCAATGGGGTGCTGAATATTGACGGGAATGGAGCATCTTTAGAAGTGCTTGGCTTTTATGCATTCAAGTCACACCTGCCATCCTAAGGCCAGAGATAACATAGTAGCTAACCCCCTTTCACCACTTCCTACCCTTTCCCCCTCTTTTTGGGAAAGGGGTCCAAGAACAGCTGAGTCAGGCAAGCTGCTTATACAGCCTGAGAGTGGTTTGTGCTGCGAGCAGGTACACCCTCCTCCAAACGCCCAGCTCAGCTGCTAGGGGAAGGATGTGGACAGCATGCACAGCTACCTGCCTATCGAAGGTGGTGGTTTAGTTTTACTCCTTTCTACACAGATAGTTAGACTAGTACTTGCTCCTAAGCCAAGAAGTCAGAAATTCCCTCACTCACACAGCTATCAGGCCTTGTACTATAGCACCCGACAGACCAGGAGACAAACTGAACAGGGCAAGTAAGCACAGAAAGGCACTCTTGAAGGGCTTAGCAGGAAGCTGGAACCATTGAAGCTGAATGGCTGCAGGTTGCCACTAGAAAGAACCAGTGAGGACGAGGGAATGCCAGCAGCCTTTATACCATCACTTAACAATGGAAACACATCCTAAGGAATGCATCATTGAGTGGTTTCATCCTTGTAACAAGCATCACAGAGTACATTTATGTAGACTAAGACAGCTGCAACATCACTAAGCAATCTGATCTTCCAGGACTACTGTTGTACACGTGATCCATCCTTGGCACAAATACCATTGACTAAAACATAGTTCAGTAGCATAGGCTTGTTTCTAGGGGTGATGACCCCTCGATATGGCCCTATTCCTTATTCAGCCCTCATAGTGGCACCGAGTTGTCAAAAAAAACAGGGTATGTCTTTCCAAAAGCTTGTCAGGGTCGCGAGTGGTTCATTTCTTTTTGGGAGCCCCTCACTTGCTTCCTTTTCCTGCCGTCCCCCATTCCCAGAGGTGGAGGTCTTACAGTTCATTATTCTTTAGACTTCAGCTATAAGAAACACTGATACCATATTCAAATGTTTCCAAAGTAAGAAGTTTGACCTCCTTTTCTAAATGAAATCCCAGGAGCAAAGAGCTAAACACATTTAAAGTGTTGAACGAAAGAGACTACGACTGAAGTCCAGTGACCTTGAGCAAATGCATTTTGGTTTTTTTGCATAACATCTCACAACTCAAACAGTGAGAACGATGTACCTAGGGGTAAGTAGGGACATACCCTCCCTGCCTAAATAGCAGGCATCTGTCTTTCAGAGGCAGCTTCCTACCCTTCCTCCTACCCACTTCACCTAGTTCACACAGCAGTTCAGGCCTTGCCCCATAGGATCCTACAGATGAGAAAACTTGTTCTCACAGCTCACTCTCTGCTTTGCCCTCTCGTCACTTAATAAGGCCCTGCTAAGTGGCAGGTGCTTGAAGCTATGGGTGTCTGAAGAGCATGAGACTGGGCTATGTGACACCTTCGCTTAACTTTTAGGTCCTCCCTAGAAGAAGCTCGTCCACCACATGCTAGCAAGACTGTACTGGTGATGTTAGCCACTCACTTTTGTACAAACTCCACCATATTTCATTGTTAAGAGATAGTGACTATTGCCTGTGGCTGTGCTTAGGCTTTAAGGTGAGTCAGGCTGAGATCCCAATAGAACAGGAATTCTTTGGCCTGCCCTTCATCTCCTCCAGAAGCCAAAAACCCCTGAGTGTAGCAGAACCTTCTAGGATGGACATCTCTTTGGAAAGAGCAGAGAGATAGCCTAGCCTGGTGTTCATATGTCTAATCACTTTCCACTAAGATTTAAATTCCAAGTTGTCATCAGTGGCCGAGAGTTCCCTCCAGCCGAAGCTGGTAGCAAGAAAGTGGCCAAGCAGGATGCAGCACTGAAAGCCATGACAATTCTGCTTCGAGAAGCCAAAGCTAAGGACGGTGGAAACCTGGAAGACTTGTCCTGCTGCTCCTTGGAGGATGAGTTGGAGAAGGTGGGCGATCCATTCACTTTCCATGTCTGATCTGTCAGGATTTTAACTAGACTTCTTGAAGCCCCCTAGCCTGAACAGCCAGCACAACACTACCTTTCCAAAGCAGCCCCCAATCCTTCCTTCCTCCCATACTTAGCTCTCCTCCTGTCCCCTCCCAACCTGACGAGATTTACAGAATGCCAGGAGTTGAAAGAGGTCTGAGGACCACTGCGTCCACCCTCCTGTGTCACAGGACAACCTACTCAAGAGAAATTCTCTCATCCTCATCCCCTCTGCTGGAATAGAAAACTAAGGTTTTCTCAGCTTTATTTTTTGTTTAGTGTGTTTGGTTTTTGGTATCTCATTTTCTCCAGACAGAAGAGCCAGAGGCCTCCACCCCTTCAGCCACATCCTTATTCTCTGGGAAGAGCCCTGTCACCACATTGCTTGAGTGTATGCACAAACTGGGGAACTCCTGTGAATTCCGTCTCCTGTCTAAAGAAGGCCCTGCCCATGACCCCAAGTATGTCCCATGATCCCATCTCTCCGGAGGCTTTCTCTAAAAAAGAGGGTATCTGGGGCTGGGAAGGTGGCTCAGTGGTAGAGCGCTTGCCTTGCATGCTCAAGACCCTGGGTTCGATTCCTCAGCACCACATAAGCAAACAGAAAAAAGCCGGAAGTGGCGCTGTGGCTCAAGTGGTAGAGCGCTAGCCTTGAGCTGAAGAGCTGAGGGACAGTGCCCAGGCCCAGAGTTCAGGCCCCACGACTGGACCCAAAAAAAAAAAAGAGGGTATCTGCCAAGATGAGCCTTGCTTTACTGTGCAGTTTCTTCTGTTTCAGTGTGGAAAGTGAGGGAGAAGGGTACTTCAGGGCCTGCTTGCAGCTTGTAAAGCAGAGAATCTGGGCTTAGGAGTTCAAAAGCAGCAAGCACTAGGGAGAGTTACAGCTTTTGGGTCACTATTGGAGGAAGAAAGAGGTTCAGGACCTGGGCAGACCCACACAGCTATCTGCTTAAGGTCTGTAGACTTACCTGTTCAAGAAAGCTTCCTGGAGGAGGTAAAAAAGGCATATTGAAAAAGGTGAGTCAGGCCACGAGACACTGGGGCAGGAGGTGGGTAAAGCATACTGGCTATTCAAGGTCAACGTGACCTTGCTGAGGTTACATTAGAAGTGAAGGATTGACAGCCTGACAAAGGCACATCTCTTCAACCCAAACCACTGTGATCTGGTTTCCTCGTCTCTTGTCAGATTCCAGTACTGTGTTGCTGTGGGAGCACAAACTTTTCCCACAGTGAGTGCTCCCAGCAAGAAGGTGGCAAAGCAGATGGCTGCCGAGGAAGCCATGAAGGCTCTGCATGAGGAAGCAACCAACATGGTTGATAACCAGGTAGGATGTTTTCCTGCTTAGTTACAGTGCAGATGAGGATCCTCTGTGAGTCCCCCAGTGTCCTGATGTGTTTGTACTTCTTCTGTGGCTAATTTTCTCAAGTCTGGAGAGATGGAATCACTTGATAACTTGGAGCCCAATAAGATCGGGAGGATTGGGGAGCTGGTCAGATACCTGAACACCAACCCTGTGGGCGGCCTGTTGGAATACGCTCGCTCCCACGGTTTTGCTGCTGAGTTCAAGTTGGTCGACCAATCTGGACCTCCTCATGAACCCAAGTGAGTGTACCAGTCCTGGCTACCAGCATATGCTACCCAGAGGGGTGGCCTGTAATCCAGAGAAGAAAGGATGTATGTTAGCTGTGAAAAAGGGAAACAAGTCCAGTCCTACATGGAAGACATTCAGTCAGCCTTCTTGAGAATGTATTTTTCTCATGGGTATCAGTGGTCCTTTTAAATTTTTTAAACTAAGTTTTGTTTTTAAAAGAGAACATATGCATAGAATATCATCCAAACCATGGAAATTCTTGTTTCTATCCCCGATTTCTTTGTTTCTACTGACCCACACACTATCACCCCGAGACTTTCTAGAAGTTCCTATGCATAACCAGCATATATTTGTTCGTTTATTCATTTATTTCTTCCTTTCTTTCTTTTTTTTTTTGGTCCGGTCGTGGGGCCTGAACTCTGGGCCTGGGCGCTGTCCCTCAGCTCTTCAGCTCAAGGCTAGCGCTCTACCACTTGAGCCACAGCGCCACTTCCAGCTTTTTTTCTTTTTTGCTTATGTAGTGCTGGGGAATCGAACCCAGGGCCTCATGCATACAAGGCAAGCACTCTACCACCCTCCCAGCCCTCTTCCTTCCTTTCTTAACAGAAAATAAGCCTATATTCATATATTCACCAAAAAAAAAAACACATTGTGATTCCTTTACTTACCAATATGTCTTGGAGACCATTATAAATCAACAGATCTACAGATCTTTTGCACAGCTACACTTTATTGAATAGATGCTTCCAGCTTTAAAATTTTTATTAAATAAGAGATATAAAAGACCTTTTCCAAAATAGATACCCATGCACCACCACCCAGTTTAAGAAATAGCATGTTGCTAGTGGCATGACTTAAGTGGTAGAGCACTTTAGCAAAGCATGAGGCCCTGAGTTCAAACCTTAGGACTGCTAAAATGGACCAGGTACCAGTGGCTCATTCTTGTAATCCCAGCTATTCAAGAGAGGATTAAGCTTTGAGGCCAGTCTTGCAGGGAAGTTCTCAAGACTTCAACTTCCAAATAACCAGCAAAATCCAGCTGAAGGTATAGCTCAAGTGGTATTGTACCAGCTGAGCAAGCTTGCTGATTATAGACCTTTACCACTGTCTGGCTTATGTGCTGAGGTGGGATCTCACTAACTCTTTGTTTGGACTGGCTTCAAACTGAGATGAACTGTGATCCTCCTAATCTCTGCTCCCCAAGTAGCTTGGATTACAAGTATAAGCCACTTTGCCTGGCACTATATTCTTTTACTGTAGCTGTATTGCATTACAGTGCTCAGGCTTACCACAATTTAGTCAACCAGATCCTGTTGATGAGCTCCTGCGTTGTTTCCAAACTTGCTACTATAGATAATTCTGCAATAAATATCATGTTGATGAGCTCTTACAATTTTGATAAGTATGCCAGACTTTCCTACAATGAGATTATACCAGTTTATGCTTACACTAGCAGTATGTAAGAATGGCTTTTCTCTAGCTATCACCAGCCCAAGAGGTATGGTGTTATCAAAGTTGCTATTTTTGCCATTCTAAAATGTAAAAAGATGTCTTATTGTAGTGAAAACATTGGTCTACACTAAGGTATTTTTTTAATATTTACCATCATTAATAGATCAGAGGGGGAAAAACACATAATCCTCTCCAGAGATTCAAAAAAAAGCATTTGTAAAATTCAGATACATTCAGATTAAAAAGCCAAACTGTCAGATTTTTAAATATCTCCTTAGCACGAAAAGAATAAACATGTGATGCCAGAAGCAAGCAGCTTATATATTAATGTGCCTAGAACTGTTCCCATTAAGTATAGAGGAAAATGTAGGTGCCTATGTCATCTTACTGAGTGTGGTTCTGGGATTAATAGTATACAAGGTGCTCGCAGATTATATGAGTATGTACCTGGAACACTCATGAGAAAATCAAAGAAAGGTAGAGAGAATTGAGGAAAGCAGATGATTACAAAGCAGTGTATAAGGGCCAGGAAGGTGGCTCCGTGGTAGAGTGCTTGCCTTGCATGCCTGAGGCCCTGGGTTCGATTCCTCAGCACCACATAAGCAAAAAGACAAAAGCCGGAAGTAGCGCTGTGGCTCAAATGGTAGAGTGCTAGCCTTGAGCTGAAGAGCTGAGGGACAGCGCCCAGGCCCAGAGTTCAGGCCCCACGACCAGACCCAAAAAAAACAAAACAAAAACAAAGCAGTGTATAAGAACTAAGAGCTTTTCGGGGCTGGGAAGGTGGCTCAGTGGTAGAGTGCTTGCCTTGCATGCATGAGGCCCTGGGTTCAATTCCTCAGTACCACATAAGCAGAAAAAAAAAAAGCTGGAAGTGGTGCTGTGGCTCAAGTGGTAGAGTGCTAGCCTTGAGCTGAAGAGCTGAGGGACAGCGCCCAGGCCCAGAGTTCATGCCCCATGACTTGACCCCCCCCCAAAAAAAAAGAACTAAAAGCTTTTCTATGTACAACAACGAGCATATAGGAATTATGGTGAAGAAATTATCCTGTTACAACACAACTAAACCACCTCAGCACTGTTCTAATTGGAAAAGTATAGCCAAGTGAAATGCTATTCAAGATTATAAAGGAGGGCTTAATTAATGGAGAAAGAATTCTGTAGTTGATAGATTTGGGGATGGGGTGCTGGAGATTGAACCCATACTTTGCATATGCTAGACAAGTACTTTACCACTGAGCTACATTTCCAGCCCAAGAAAATCTATTTGAAACACAAGAGCTCTTCCAGATTAATCTCTTCATATAATGTGATCCCAATAAGAAACACTGATAAAAATTATTTTGGAGCTAGAAAAGTTGGTTCTAAAGTTCATATGAAAATAAATATATAACAGCCAGGCAAATTCAGAAAAATAAGAGCAATAAGGCAGATGTTTAAACAGTGTGCTGGTATGGAGATAGGGAGGCACACCAGTAGAATACGTTGGAATTTTTAAAAATCAAGATGGACATAAATGGGGATTTTGTACATTGTAAATTGAGGTTTCAAAGAGTGGGGAAATGATGGATTAGCACGAAAAGAATAAACAGTAATGATGATGGGCACATCTTATAAACAAGACCAGAGCGGATGCGGCTCCTTCCCTCCACGCGCATTCCACTAGACCTGAGGTTCAAATGAAAAATAAATATAATTACTGAATTACTAAAGTGGAAGCAAGAATGTTTCTAGAATCATCAAGTGGGAAAGTTTTTTCAATCAGAGCATGAAACATAAATGTCTTAGAGAACAAGGCTTGGAAACTAACTATAAGAAAAATTGGATCATAGTAATTGGACTATCTAAAATAAAACACAAAAACAAAAACACAGAAGCCTATGGGAAGCTATGATCCTCAGATTTCAGCCTCCTGAATAGCTAGACTTACAGGTATATGCTTCCAGTGCCCAGCAAATTTCTTTAATAAATAAGGTATTCTAAATAACTCTTTAATAGAAAATCTAAGGGAAACTTAGACAAAAGTATATGAAGCATACAGTCACAGAAAAAGAAACTCTGAATTGTTAATAAGAGTACTCTACTTTTATTTTTAACAAAAAAGAGTACTCTACTTTTAAAACTCAGTTTTATTGTCAAAAAAGTACTCATTACCTGACTTGTATAGCTATAACCCCTTTATGCATCATTTTCATAATAACTTGCGGGTCCTGGGGCTTGAACTCAAGGCTTAGATGCTGTCTTTGAGCCTCTTTGTGCTCAAGACTAGAGCTCTACCACTTTGAGCCACAGCACCACTTCTGGCTTTTTCTGAGTAGTTTACTGGAGATAAGAGTCTCATAGATTTTTCCTGCCCAGGGTGGCTTCGAACGATGATCCTCAGATCTCAGCCTTCAGAGTAGCTAGGATTACAAGTGTGAGCCACTGGCACCTAGCTTATAATAACAATTTTTTAATCTAAAATATTAAAAATTAAAAACTCAGTTTACACTGGTCAATGTACTTAAAACTATAGAGATGTAATCCATCATCTATATCATAGCTAAGGTTAGAGAACAATACTTTATCTTCTAGCAGGCCTTTTTTATGAAAATACACATACTTTGCATGACTGATATACTGATGTATATTTGTATGCAACATTGTTTATGGTGGCAAAAGACTTAAGATGGTCTAAAGCCCCATCATTGCAGACTGCTTGAGCAAACTGGCATGTCCACACTAAGGAATACTAGACAGTCATATAAAAGAATAGGACACATCCCTGAGGTCTGGCAGAATGAAAAGGCAAGGTATGCAGTGAGGAGAGAGCACTTGGAATGTTTTCTCAGAGGACTAAGGAAGCTAAGGAGGGATGCTTTCTTTTCATAATATGTCCTCACGATTGGAACTTTTTATTTGTGTGAGTCTTATTTTTCAATTTAAAAAGTCAGTAAGGCCAGGCACTGGTGGCTCACACCTGTAATCCTAACTACTTGAGGCTGAGACCTGAAGATCACAGTTTGAAGCCAGCCTGGACAGGAAAGTCCATGGGACTCTTATCTCCAATTAACCACCAGAAAACTGGGAGTGAAGCTATGGCTCAATGTGATAGAGCACTAGCTTTGGGCAAAAGAGCACAGGGACAGTGCCTAAGGCCTCATGACAAAACAACAACAACAACAAAAAAAAAAAGTCAAGAAGGAAAGCTCTTATAAAATACTACCTTGTTATTTAAATTTGCCTTTCTCTAATATTAGTGTCAACCATTTATGAATTTTCTTCTCTATAAACTGCCTTGCTGTCCTAATTCAATCTTTAGTGTTGTTACTGCTTATTAATATTTTAGAACTTTTCACATAATGAAAACAGTAGCCCTTTGACCAACCTACCTGGATGTAGAAAACTCAAACAAGAGGCAGCCAGGAAAGGTCCTCCACTGCCCCCCCGTGGCTGGGAAGCACTTGCCCTGTGGTGAAGCCACACAGGAAGGAAAGCGCAGTCCATCTCCCTCCAGCGGTTGTGCTACCACCTCCTTTTTCTGTGTTACAGCCATCTGTAGTTGATGGCAAGTGGTACTGGGCCGCTATTTACAGAAATACAAATTTTTTAAAAAAATATATACTTACATTTTCAAGAGTCAATTTAGAGAAAAACATTAAGGAATAGTCCAGTGACATATGGAACCAGCAAAATTCATGTGGTAATTCATGAATGACCAAAGACTGGGAAATGCTGCTAGAGAGAGCTGTCAAGATGGATGGGTCCATATGTTTGCAAAGCCAGCCGTTCCCTGGGACAGCTGTCAAGGTCTGGTGCTTGTCTCATCCCAAAGGTTCGTTTATCAAGCAAAAGTTGGAGGCCGCTGGTTTCCGGCCGTCTGTGCACACAGCAAGAAGCAAGGCAAGCAGGAAGCAGCAGATGCGGCCCTCCGGGTCTTGATTGGGGAGAACGAGAAGGCAGAGCGCATGGGTTTCACAGAGGTAACCCCAGTGACAGGGGCCAGTCTCAGAAGAACTATGCTCCTCCTCTCCAGGTCCCCAGATGCACATCCAAAGACAGTTAAGACTTCTACTTTTGCTGCTCCCTTTTCTTGGGGGGAGGGCTCTTCACTTATCATGTGAATTAGCCTTAGGCTTTAAAACTAGCTTTGTTAGGCATATGAGTGGGACAAGAGATAGGAGGCGAAGGTGACTTCCAGATCAAGGACAACATGGTCTCTCTGCTCACTGTGCAATATGGTGGACCGAGGCTGGGCTATGTGGCCCTGACCCTGCCCTTCTCCCCACAGCTGCCTCTCAGTGGCAGTACTTTCCATGACCAGATAGCTATGCTGAGCCACCAGTGCTTCAATGCGCTCACCAACAGTTTCCAGCCCTCTTTGCTGGGCCGCAAGATCCTGGCTGCCATCATTATGAAGAGAGACGCTGAGGACATGGGTGTTGTGGTCAGCTTGGGGACAGGTAAGTGAGGGGGCAAGGGCATATGGGAACTGACGATCTAGAAGTTGGAGTCATTTCTGTCTTTCCCTGATTCACTGTGATTCTTGTTCGGAATGCCTTCCCAGGGAATCGCTGTGTGAAAGGAGACTCTCTCAGCCTAAAGGGAGAAACTGTCAATGACTGTCATGCTGAAATCATCTCCCGGAGAGGCTTCATCAGGTGGGAAAGATGGGCAGCCAGTGGGCCTTGGCCACTGGGGCAGCACTCCCTGGCCTGCCCATGCAGGGGACCATGGCTCCTACACTTCCTCCCCTAAACCCCAAGTTGTGCAGCAGCTCCTTACTCCAGCAGTGGCATCCTTCATTTTGTTTTTAACTGGTTGGTTTTTGTGGGGGAGTTGGAGGGTTTTTTTTTTTTTTTTGCCTTTTCTGTTTTGGTACTGGGAATCGAACTCAGAACGTTGCACTTGCTAGGCAAGTGCTTTGCCACTGGGCTACACATCCCAGCCCAGCATCCTTCATTTTCAACTAATGCATTTGAATCCTCCCCTCTGGGACCTGGCTGCCTCCCACTGCTCAGCCAGTTTCTAAGTGCCCTCCTTTTCCTGCTGATTGCTTCATGTCCTCTCTTTAGAATACAAGGTGACCTCCGGGTTCTCAGGGCCTTGGGGATGAGGCAGCCTTCTCTGTTTGGGACCTACAATCTTGATGCCCCTGCTGGCTTTCTCCTCTAGTTCACCTTTTCTTTAATTTATGAAGCTAGAGGCTCAGGGAGAAGCAGCAGCCTCATGTAGGCTTTGAATGTGTTGATCTTGCCCTGGAATTCCCAAAGCTGCTGTAACGAGGAGCCCTGGCTAACTTTTACTTAATGCCAAGGCCTCTGATAGAATGTTCCAGCCCTTCTTTTCACCTGAAATCTGACAAGTGTGTACCACTGAGGTTTTTCCTGACATGGGCTTAGGAAGAGGTCACATCATGGAAGCCCAGAATCCAAGCTGCCATCCTAACCCAGGCTTTCCTTCTATAGGTTTCTCTACAGTGAGCTAATGAAACACAACCATCGTACTGCAAAGGATAGCATATTTGAGCTTGCTAGGGGAGGAGAGAAGCTCCAGATAAAAAAGACTGTTTCGTTCCATCTCTATATCAGGTCTGTATTGGCTCTCTTGCTGCTGGCACAAGCCCTGCCAGGCTCTCTGGCCTGGGTGTCCAAATGCTTCCCTGGCCCCTAAGTCTGATCTCAGACTGTAGCCACTCTCCACTCTGTTTGAGGTATGTATCCTGGGGGAGAATCGTACATCCATTGCCACCCATCTCCAATTTCCGTGGCAGGCTAGCTCCAGCCTCATCAGACATGGAGCCCCAAGCTGGGCCAGTCTGCATGGTGAGTTTTAATGTAGCCCTGTGTTGCAGCACTGCTCCATGTGGCGATGGGGCCCTCTTCGACAAGTCTTGTAGCGACCGCGCTGTGGAAAGCACAGATTCCCGCCACTACCCTGTCTTTGAGAATCCCAAACAAGGCAAGCTCCGCACCAAGGTGGAGAATGGTGAGTGATACATGGCATCCTTCCCACTGTAGTTGTGAGACTGGTGGTGTAGAGGGTAGTCTTAGATTCCAGGCAACAAGGTGGTGTTTACATTTACAAGACAGGAAAAATCCTGAACCGGAGGAAGATGGAGATCCTGTTTTGAATCTTTGAGCTTGAAAACCCTAGGCCCATCTGGAGCTCAGAGGAGAAAGCCTGGCTGGAAACAGAAATAGGAGGATCATTGCCCTGTGTGATTGTCATGTCCATGGGAATGGGTAGGGTGATGAGAAAGGGTGCTGAGAGCCTGCCTTCTCCTGTCTAGTTGGCTGCTGATGTTCACCTTGCCTGCTAGCTCCTCTCCTGTCCTCTAATGTCTCCCCACTGTCTCCTCACAATACTGCTGTCTCTTCACACATCAACAGTCATCTGACTGGTCCCCAGACCTAAATCAGATTATGTCAGTTAACTGCTAAATGCCTTGCAGTTTAAGCAGAGTCACCATATGACTCATGCTTCACTCCTAGGAGTTTACCCAAGAGAAATGAAGACTGGTCCACACACCAACACTAGTATGGGGCCATTGACTGCAACATTATTCACAGTAGCCCAAGTGGAAACAAGCCAAGTGTCCATCCCCTGATGAACAATAAATAGGATGTGATATGTTATATGCATACAATGCAATATTATTTGGCCATGAAAAGAAATGTAGTACATTTTATATATACAACAACATGAATGAACCTTGAAAACATGCTAATGGAAAAAGCCAGTCAGAAAAGATCATACATTGTATGATTCCATTTATATAAAATGTCCAGAATAAGCAAATCCATAGAGGCAGACAGTAAACTGTAACTGCTTAGGGTTGGGCATAGGTGGGGTTGGAGGGAAATGAGTGTCCACCAATAAGTGGTGGGAGGTTTCTTTGGGGGGATGAAATGCTCTAAAGCTGGGCGCAGTGATGGCTGCACAAACATAAAAATACTAGAAGTCAGTGAATGTCGTGTGTTAAACTGGCTAATCATATGGTATATGATTTGCATCTTGGTAGAGCTATTTCTAAACAAAGAAACCTATAGTGTTTCCCACTGTACCATGCCTGCAGGGAGAACCTCCATGACCTCCCAGCCTCTTCCTCTCTCACAGGTGCACTATTTCCTTTGTCAGCTCCCTGAACCACCACTGCCTCCGAGCCTTTGCTGTTGCTGTTCCCAGTGTCTGAAACACTCTTAACTACTCCAGCAGTTCCTTCTCCTTTGTGTCTTTGCTCCCCTGACTTTTCCACCCCAGGAGCTTCCCCATGCTATCCCCCATTATATCTCCCTCAAAGCCTCTGGAGCAAAGTTACCTTCTAGAATTCCGGAGTGTAGGTGTTGGTTTGCTTAGTTAGTGTCTGTCCATTCCAATTTGTCTCCCACACCCACAAATATCACAGGAGGACAAACTGTCCAGCATTAGGCATAGACCTTGGCACTGAGTGGGGGCGTTGCCTTGCATGAAGAGAGTCAATAGCCAATAGCCCAGGCCTCGGTAGCACAAATACTGTGCCACAGACCACAGGTTGGGTGGTCTGTGGGTCTGACCTAAGTCTCTCACATAGGGGAAGGCACGATCCCTGTAGAGTCCAGTGACATTGTACCCACTTGGGATGGCATTCGACTTGGAGAGAGGCTCCGAACCATGTCCTGTAGTGACAAAATCCTACGCTGGAATATTCTGGGTCTTCAAGGGGCACTGTTGACCCACTTCCTACAGCCTGTGTATCTCAAATCTGTCACATTGGGTAAGAGACCTGCCTTGGGAGGGGGAACCCATGTCCTTCTCAGCCCAAATCCCAGAAAACTGCATGTCATGTCTCCCCTTCCCAAAATGAGCTCAGCTAACTTGTCAGTCATGGTTTCTGCGGTCCATTACTGTGGTGACAGGAAGGCAGGTCCAGGTACCAGGTAGCAGCCTCAAGAAAGACAGGCCAGGCCGGCCTTGCCAGTGTTCAAGACTGCAGCATCTTAGTTCTTCCCTTGACCTCCTCAGCCTTTAACCTTACCTGGAACCTTCTGGTTTGTGCTTAAATATTTTATGATCTTTACACGGCATGGGTTATCACAGTCACAGCTCTTGCAGACATTCAGACTTTCTAAGCATCTCGGGCTCTTAATAGTATTTGGTCCAAACATTGGCATGTTTTTCTTTTTGTGTACCCAGGTTACCTATTCAGCCAAGGGCATCTGACCCGTGCTATTTGCTGTCGTGTGACGAGAGACGGGAAATCATTTGAGCACGGACTACGATATCCCTTTACTGTCAACCATCCCAAGGTGCTATAACCCCTTTGTATTTTCTCTTGGCATTTATCTCCTTTACAAACAGTTCTGTCAGCAGGGAAAATGTAGGCAAAGGAACCCTTGTCAGTGTGTCTAGAACTTGTCCTTTCCTTCCCCTCCCAAGGGCTTTCCTCTTAATCTGAAAGTCATCTGAATTGAGGTGGAGTTAGTGTGTCTGTAGTCTACTGAGCCCCATAGCCAAATGAAATGCTAAAGAAGAAGGCATCCTCACTCCCTCTTTCCCATGAGTTTCTGCTCCCAAAGCTTCTCCTTGAAATGTCTCTGTCTTTCTCCTATGGCTCCCATGGGATCCCTAGGTTGGTCGAGTCACTGTGTATGATTCCAAAAGACAATCTGGGAAGACAAAGGAGACAAGTGTCAACTGGTGTTTGGCTGATGGCTTTGACCTTGAGATCCTGGATGGTACCAGAGGCACCGTGGATGGGTAAGGGGGGTTGGAGGGTACGAGAAAAGCAAAGCCAAACTTAATGCCCTAAAACTGGCAAGAGTGTATTCCTCTCCTGCCAGTCCCCAGACCTTAAAGTGCCATCCACCCGCTTTGGCTCCCCACTTCTCCTGGTCCTAAGTGAATAACAACTACTTTTATTTTCCCAGACCAGGGAATGAATTGTCACGGTTGTCCAAAAAGAACATTTTCCTTCAATTTAAGAAGCTCTGCTCCTTCCGTTACCGCAGGGATTTACTGAAACTCTCCTATGGGGAGGCCAAGAAAGCTGCCCGTGACTATGAGACAGCCAAGAATTACTTCAAGAAAAGCCTGAGGGATATGGGCTATGGGAACTGGATAAGCAAACCACAGGAGGAAAAGAACTTTTACCTCTGTCCAGTACCCAATGACTGATTGCGTGGGCATTTCCCACGGGGTGGGAGGGTGGTCCATTGCATTCCTCATCACATTGATCAGGGGTCTAGGGGACTTTTTAACCCCTTTTTATTTTAATGGAACCATAATTGGTGGTTCTGAGAACTCTTGAGTTCCCATTTATCCTGCTTTCTTTGGGAGTTTTAGGTTGGGCCAGGCCAGGCCCCCTTCTCTTTTCCTGAGTAAAGAGCCAGAGATCTAAAGGAAGAGAAAAGGGTTTATCTTTTCACCCAAATCATAAGCAGTCACTGAGCACCTACAGCCATTTCCTCTTAAGTTTCGTTGTGTTTTCGGTTTTTTTCCATTTCCTTTTTCTTTGTTTGCCACACTGACCTGTTGTAGACTTGAATAGGTTCCAGGCAGTTCTTCTTGAATCATGTCAGGGACTAATGACTTCATTTATGGATTCTGCAGGCCCCTCAACTTCCCTTCCGTTCTGGGGTTCCTTCCTGTGGTCATGATCATTATGCCTCTCCTTCCCCACCCCAGAGTACTGAGACATGAACCTAAGGAATTTGGTGAAACATTTACAAGGGCAGGAGTTGAAACTGCCCTCAGTTAATTACCAGTGCCGATGGAAGTGTAACTGGTGTGGGGTCTTGCATGGCAGCCAGCTCCAGGAGAGCTGCTGGTGGGGAGGCACCGCCCTTCTCCAGACAGCAGGGGTTGAGAACCAGCCAGAACGGACTGGGGAAGTTGCCCAAGCAGTAGCTGAGGCTTCCCCATGCAGGAGGCAGACATTCCTTGGCATATGGCCAAGCTCCCATCTGCCCTTCCATTGAAAGCATTCCTAGGAGTTTACCCTGCCTTGTATAAGGAGTAGGGCCAGAGAGCTTAGCCAGCTGATGGTGGGAAAAGTCCAAGACATAGCCTAGCAGAAGAGTCATCTCTGCTCAGTGAGAGCTTAGTGAGAATAAAGGCAAAAAGATCATGTTGGGTCCTATCACTGCTCCACCCAGTATATTTCTCATGGCATTGATAACAAGGGAAGTTGACTAAGCTTTCTGTAAATTAGAAGTTGTTTTAGTTTTTTGTTTTTTAATGCCAGAGAAGTTGATTTTTAACTGTGATGGCACAGATTGGAAATTCATGCAAGTGCTTTCATATTGCCAAATGGCTTTAGTAGCTGGATCATTGGCAGGGCACAGGTCTAAAGCCTTTCTGCCTATTAGGGAGTCTTGACAGGGTCGACATACAAGAAGACAATAGTTAGGTCAAAGAGCAGGTGGTCCTCACAGTCTGTGGTGGACTCCCTTGTCTGTTCTGCTGTCTGAACCTTTGGCCTGTGTGGAACCTGCCCTGTGGCTAAGTCAGCCGGATATGCTCAAGAGGACAAACAAGGCTCTGCTTCTTCCAGGACTTGAGCCTCTCTTTCCTTTGGATGATGTGTCTTCATCTGAAAAAGGCTGTCCGGGCTCCCCTCGCCCTGACCTGCTGATAATTACCCTCCCTCTACCCACCTCTTCAAAGTAGATAGAGCCACATTTGCACTTTTATTCTTCTGGCTACTACTATGCCCTCTGTACCTAAGACCAAAAATTGACCAAGATAAGAATGCGTGTTTTTTAAATACACCAGGGATGTCTTTGAGGAACACCAGTGGAATTGGTGTCCCCAAGGAACAGGTAGGGAAATGGTGCCTGTCTCTGGGGTAGAGAGAGACTGCTCCCAGACTTCATGAATGCTGCCACACTTGGTATAGGAGCTGATGGCCCAGTAAATCAGTTCTGGCACCTGCCTCTGAGGCAGAGAAATCTTGGGGTCCCCAACTATGGGAAAGGAGTGCATTCCCTGGGTTCTTCAGGCTGCATGGTATCACCTGATTCCTCGGGATGTTTGGTCCTCCGGTCCCTCTTGGGCATTAGAATCTCAGGCAGAGCTGCCTCAGCTGCCTCTTCATTAGCAAGGAACACAGGGCTCTAAGATCAGAGCCCTCACTTGACCCCAGGACCTTAGCTAGCAAACGGGCAATATTTGGTTTCTGCTGAAGGAAGACAGCGAGGCATCCCTGCACTCCACACGCCTGCTGGAAACGAGCCGTGTCAGTCCCCATCCTACTGCATTCCCTTGCCCCTCTGAGTCACGCAGGACCAAGAGGCACAGCTTCAGCCCAGTGTTCTCCACTTTCTTGTCCAATCTTTGTCAATAAGCAAAGCACCTCCTGCTTTCTTAAAATGATTTTTGTAGTTTATTTGTCTGAACTGTGGCTATTGTGTGGTCTTTGAATAATCATGTGTGCAAATTGTCAGTGCTTGAAGCTATTTCCTTTACTCGAGTTGAAAGGACTCTGTTGGCTTTGGAGTCTGACTCCAAGAGCAGAGTGGGGAAGAGCCCAAGCATAGCCTTGGTGCTATGATGGCTGCAGTCCAGTTTTACAATTATGCTTTTTGTGTCCCTAATGAATAACAATATACATTCCTAATAAATAAAGAGTGAAAACCAGAACTGTCAGAAAGTTTCAAGTCTCCGTTTCTTGAGGAGGTGAAGGTGGACAGAGAGGAACCTGTAGTCTTGGGGTTTCTGGTAACAGCACCAGTGGCATCTGACACTGAAGCTGAGGAGAGGATCACCCCGCAGCCTGTGGAAGGAACCACTTCAAAGAGACTCCTGGGGTAGGTAGGTTTGATGCTGGGTGGACACATCAGGCACTCTACCTGCTCCATACCTTCCTCTCATCACAGCCCACCGCCAAATGGACTTGATGGCCAGAATTTCAAGGCCCAGAAGAGGGGAGGGAAACTTCCCTTGAGACTAACACAAATCAAACAACTCTCAGTCTCCCTAAGGAGTGTTTTCTATCCCACTTTGCCTGCAGGAAGGTGTATGTTTGGAGAAGAGTTGTGGCTGGCCCAGGACAGGCCTAGGTGCATTTTAAGAGATTATTTTCTTTCTACTTCTATTCATGACATCCAAAATCTCTCCTTCTTGAATTTGAAAGAACTTCATCACTTTCCACGTTGTAACTTACTCCAGAATTTCTAGAAGACTACCTTTTAACAGTAATATACCAGAGGTTGATAAAGGATGATGAAGCTAGCTAAGTTACAATGAAAGCTTTTTTTTTTTTTTTTTTGTCGGTCATGGGGTTTGAACTCAGTGCTGTCCCTGAGCTCTTTTGCTGAAGGCTAGTGTGTGACTAGCCATAGTTGCAATTTGGATTGTTTGTTTTAGGTAATTAATTGGACATAAGAGTCTTACAGACTTTCCTGCCTGGGCTTCCAAATGCAGTCCTCAGATCTCAGCCTCCTAAGTAGGACTACAGGTGTGACCCACCAATGCCAGGCACAATGAAATTCTTATCTTTTTTTTTCTTTTTGCTTATCTTTATACAAATAGAACCAAGGCCAGAAGAGCCAACCACATTGGAACATGACATGAGAACCAGAATGACGTGTTCCTCCCTGTCTGAAATAGAGGGTTCAGCGAACCGAATGGTTTTTAACTTAAAGGCCATTTAGGATAATTTAACTCTTCTGTGATATCCCAAAAAACTTGAGTGCCACTGTCCTCACACATATCTTGTTCTACCTGGAGGGAAATGTATCCAGGCCTTTTAGAAAAGGGATGGTTTGGGGAAGCTAGTATGTGGCTCATCAGTAAAGCATGTGTTAATAGGCATAAGTGGAATTAGGTCCCCAACAAAAGTATTTAAAAAAATAGTTTCCTTAAAGCCTAAGCCCAGCCACCTCCACCTCTGAACTGACTGGGGCAGGACCGGATTTTCTTCAGTTCATCATCTCAGATGCATTTCATCAGGAGCCCAGAATTTCATATTGTTTCCCAGATTTGGGCGCAAATCAAACCATTGTTCCAGGAGCATATCTAACCTCCTAGCTGACTGATACCTTCTATTCCCAGAGCACAGGGCGTGAGAGCAGGCCAGCCTCAGGAGGCTGGTCTTCCCTCTGCCTGGTGCTTTGCAGAAGGTCCTCTTCATGCCCCCTGGGCTCTGTCTACCCCAAGTCTAGCCATTTGGCCATTTCTTTTGCATCTGATAAGTGAATGTGTGAAATGACAAGTCACAATGATTTAACTCAGTTTTCTTTGGATTTGCATAATGCCTTTAACCTTTCATAGGTCTACTCTCTCCAACATTCTCCCCTTTTCCCTATATTTGCCAACCCTAACCCCTGAGGGTTCTGCCCCACCTGCCAAATAAAACAGTGACAAGAAGTCTTTGGAAATGACTTTCTTTAAGAGAATCTCAAGTTTCCTAATGAGTCCAGCTTGGGGGAGACTAGACCAGTGGAGACAAGGGAGACCAAGGACAGTGTAGGGAGGGTAGTGGGGTGGGGGTAAGTTGTCCTACTGATTCCTAAGGCTACAGTCCCTGAAGAACCCTGTGACTATCACACTGACCTCTTAGGCCTATTGGGGTAACTATTAGGAGGTGGTGCTTGTTCTGATTGGTCAGGGTTGGTGATGGGAGGCTAGGTTGTGAGTGAAGCTATGACACCAGCCCATTTCTACCTAGAAGCAGAGGGTGACAAGTGAACTATCATTCTGGCTTGGGGAGCAATTCAGACAAATCTCTAAATATCCTTTTTTCCCCTCCCTGGGAGCTCTTTCGCTCCAAAGACCACAGTGAGAACTGAGGAACAGGCCTCTGCCACATCGGGAGAGCGTGCTGCCAGCTGTCAGCCTGTCAGAGCCTCCTTTCTCTTCTGTACAATGAGATTTGAAGAGACCAAAAATGGGCCAGAGCCTATTTCTTTAGAAGGAAATGGTCTTGCCTTTCCTTTGCAGATAATCTTCCTTGTACAACACACCACCTGGGAGGCTGCCTGAATCCTGTCTGCTTTTGTGTTTTCAGTAACATGGTACCAGCTGTTCAGGATCGCAGCCCTCGCTACCAGGAAGCTGTCTTTCTCCTACCGCACTGTCAGCTCAAGCACACAGCCTATATGTACTGTCAAACCATGAAAAAATGGCTTCCATCACTATGGCCTTGCCATGTCTAACAAGAATCCCCAGCTCCTTTCCTCACTGCTCCCACAACCTAGTTCAGGTTGCTATTCTCTTTCTACCCCTCCTCAGACCTTTTCAAGGCCTTGCCCAGCTCTGAACCCAGCCCCTAATTCTCTCTAGAGACAGCCCCACCATGGAAAGGAGGCCTCCCTGACATCACCAAGAGAAGACCAGAGGATGCAAAAGTGGCAGGGGCTATGCTTCTCCAAAGCTTCCCAATGCCTTAGCCTTGTTGTCCTTGCCACAGGGTACAGCCCTTCCTCCACCCTTCTCTCCTTCAAAGGGCATGGGCCCCAAAGGGCTGAACCCAAGTGGAGGTAATGATACTGCCCAGTGGTTCTTTCTGACATCAACCACTGCAGTTCCAGCCCCCTGCCATTCCTTGTACATATGCCAGCAGCAAGTTCAGAGGTGAGTGTCTCTATGAGTCAGCAAGTAACCTTTGGGCCTCATTACTTGCTATGTTAAGTAGAGAGGGCTTCGGCTGCTCTCTAATCCTTCTAGCACCCTCTGGTGACTACATTGGATGTCAGACCAAGTGGAATGTAATTAAAAAAAAAAAAGTACCACTGCAGCAGAAGCTGGTGTGACCACTGGGAGCCCAGGCCCTGGAGGG